CGAGATTGATCGTCATTGCATTAAAAAAGATTGATAATAAAGCTTTATTACTACTGAATTATTGAATACGAAAAAAGGACATGATATTAATACAGCGGAATCTGTTCTCCTTTCCAACACTATTTGTGCTTTCTGTAACACTAGCCCATTTAATATTAATAATAAGCAACCAATTACTTCTTTTATTGGCTTCTCTCTAATATCATGAAGCCAAATAACTGAAACGTTGTCTCAGTAAATGATCCACATATTTCAGCCTGTTCGTATCACATAATCCAATATACTGGTTTGACAATAGCAGAGACGAAGCCTTTCCTCCCAAAAAATTTTGTAGAAAAGCCGGTTCTTTTGAAGACTTGCCAAAGCCTTCCTTCCAATATTCGCAAGCAAACTTTCATAATCATTCGCACATCAAATCTATGACAATAGGTGGATCTATCAACATACCGTGAATGAGAGTATGAATTTGCAGATTATCACACGAAAAAAGAATTCAAGCACCTCCATGTGTCAATCAAACCCAAAACGTGATTCAGTGAATGCTATTTGTTTCCCGAGCACAGATATTACTGCGAGCATTTTTCATACGCTTGTGCAGTAGACTGATCCCACGATTGTAAACATTATTAATTATGGCCAGCACTTCTAACGACAAAGAAACAGAAATACCACCACAGCCATCGCAGCCTCTATTGAAGCAGTCGAGTATTTCTGAAAAACAAGAACAGATTGTCATCTCAGAAAACCCAGTTGGCATTGAAGGCGAAAGAACCGAGCGAGGTAGGAAATAAACATTTGCGCGCAGGCTCTGGTGATATCAATGATTTGAGCATACCGTACACGATTTCGTCAGTCTGTGACTTGCGGGCGTTACGGGGCTCCGGCGATTTTTCGTCTGGAGATTTAATTTATATACTTTTTTGATAATAGTTGACGAGAAACAACAACTTAAAGAGAATGCTGGCACGTCGGCACCCGCGAACACAGTAAAGGATGTTGTTCGACAGCAAGACCTAGAGAAAAAGTCTGCGTACAAGAAAGATAATAATTCGTTTGATTTCAACCGCTTTCTTGAGCAAATGAAGCATAAAAGCACACAAAGCATTGCAAAATATGTAAAAAGGTTAGCATCTAACGATAATAATATAATAACTGAACACTTTCCAATACGTTTGTTAATTTTCCTCCCACTATATAGTTTTGAAAAAGAATTTGCACGAAAGCCGTGGACTGTCAATGAACAAATCAAGATTATCCACGACTTCTTGGAGGTATGTTTAGACTCGTCTTTCAAATGTGTGTTTTAGTATAACATTTTAACATACTTGTTCTTGTAGTTTATAACTTTGAAAATGCGGGAGACTGAGATGTGGCAAAATGCGTCTGAACAAGAATTTGAAAACGCCCGAGAAGGGATGGAAAAATTGGTCATGAATCGAATATTCACGTTGTAAGCTAACTGTTTATTTGCTGTTAAAATAACCAAGGACTTTTTTTCAATTGATTAATCGTTGTCGCAACTCTGTCACATTCATTTCTGCAAGAACATTTACTCCGGCAATAAAGGGGCCTGTGACAACAGATGACAGAGAGCGAGATGATATATTACATCAGAGGATTCAAATATTTCGTTGGGTTAGAGAGCAGCATTTGGACATTCCCATTACACGCAACAATGAATCGTTTCTCAATTTTGCCAAATCAGGTGAGTTTATCTAATCTGAACATCTTTAAGACTTTTGCATTGATATAATTAAACGTTCTTGGCTATATATTTGTTTCCCATAATTAGAACTCTTAAAAATCAATAATTATAAAGCGCCACGGGATAAACTTATTTGTATATTGAATTGTTGTAAAGTCATATTTGGTAAGTAAATCTCTCGTATCCAATATTGTTGACATGTGCATGCGTACTATACTTAAACAACGATTGCAGGATTGTTAAGACTTGTCGACGAAGACGAAGGTGCTGATAAGTTTTTACCAGTACTTATCTTTGTTGTATTACGTGCAAATCCACCCGATTTAGTATCAAATGTTCAGTAAGTGTGCTTGTCGATTTAATACTCGTTTTGAAATTGTGAAATAATTAATTTGTGATTGTGTAGATACATTTCGCGATTCCGCAATCCAGACAAGCTTGTATCTGAGGCTGGATATTACCTGTCAAGTTTGGTTAGTTACTGTATCCATTATCATTGAGGAATGTCCGCTTTAAGCTATGCTATCCTAATCTTGTTTTCACAAAAATCAATTAGATGGGGGCTATTTCATTTATTGAGAATATGGACGAATCATCTCTTTCAATAACGAAAGAAGAGTTCGACAAGTATGAATGTTTATTATTTGATATAAATAGTAGAATCGCCACCGTTAAAATCAACTCTGTTTTTATTATTTCCAATGAGTACTCATAATTTTTGTGTCATGTTTTATTCATTAGTAATATCGAAATAACTATGAAAGAACTCGAACGCGAACGTCCAAAACTAGAAGAAAACGATTCAGTCCTTACATACGATAACGTCGTCCATCCAAGATCTACACAAACAACAAAATCCCCACTCTTAAACTCTGCTCAAGCAAAGGCATTTTTAAAAGAAGGTAGCAACTTCGCCCAGCGGACATTTCAAAAGCCGCTGAATATGATGAACAAATTCCTCTCCGAAATCGCAAACGACATCCAAGATTTTTCACCCCTACCACCCCCAACCCCACCCCGTCCATCCTC